CAAAATCTGAAAGTATCTAAGACATGTGAGACCATTAATTACTACTGAGTAGCTTTTGGATAAATGAGGTTTCTAGTGTCGTCACAACTTAACACTTAAACCAAGTCTTTTGTTTTAGTCAATTTAAGGAGTATATTAATATTTCACTGTGGCTTTGATATTGAATGATGGTAAACATCTTTTCATGTGATCATTTGCTGTCTTGTTTGTTTCTCCATTGCTGTGACAAAATACTCTGACCAATATCAACATGGGGTTGAAGAGGGTTTATTTATCTCACATCTCCTAGGTCACAGTTTATCAGGGAGCTCAAGGTAGGAACTCAGGGCAGGAACCTGGGGGCAGGAACTGAAGCAGAGGCCATGGAAGAATACTACTTACTGGCTTGCTCCTCTGGCCCCTGCTCAGCCTGCTTTCTTATGCAACACAGGCCCATTTTCCCAGGGGTGGTACCACTCACTGTGGGCTGGGTCCTCCCATATCACAAAGCAATCAAGAAGATGCCCCACAGACATGGCTACAGGCCAGTCCAATAAAGGTAATTCCCCAATTGAGGCTCCCTCAACCCAGGTGTGTCAAGTTGACACTAAAGCTATCCAGCACAACTGGCCCCTTGTCAACTTGACACACAAACCACATCACTATTAAACCAAAACTTTTCCAATTCTTGTCCCTAAGATATGGTGTTAATAACACAACAAAGGATAGTACATCCTTAAAAACCCCACAGTCCTTAAAAAATCCAAACACTGAAAAGTTCATATCTCTTTTAAAAGTCTCTTATCTATGGGTGGGCTTCTGTAAAATCCAAAACAAGTACTGTCTTATTTCAAAGGGAAGAATCAGGCACACCTAAGCAAAACCAAAGTCCAGCAAAGTAACTCAAGGCTGGACATCTGGGATTCACTCATGATCTTCTGGGCTCCAAAGGGTTCTGGCAGCTCCACTTCTCTGACTTTGCCATACACAGCATATACATCTCATCTTGCAGACCCAGGCCAGCTCCATTCCACACCTACGGCTATCCTTGGTGGTCATCCCATGGTCCTAGCATCTCCAAAAAGCTGGGGTCTCCACTGAAACTGAAGCTACACCTTCACCAATGGCCTCTTCTTGCCTCTTGGGGTGCAAAGCCTCAGCTTCTCTCCATGACCTCTTCAATCCTGGGATCATTACTGCAACTGAAGCTGCACTTTCACCTATAGCCTTTCTGGCCTCTCAGAGTGCCAAGCCTCAGCTGCTCTCTATGACCCCTTCACACTTTCAACACCAGAACCATGCAGGAGACTCTTACACATTACCAAGTCCTGCTTCCAGCTAGAGACAGAGGTTTGGGTCCCCTCTGTGTGCTGATCCTGAGGAAATACCTCCCAGAAGATTCACCTCAGTGATGCTGGTCTCTTGTTATTTACAGCTGATTTTTCAGCCCCAGCTAACCAGCATCAATTGTCCCAGTAAAACAAAGGTTTTAATTCAGGTTCTGGTCTCTTGTTAATTACAGCTGATTCTTCAACCCCAGCCGACCAGAACCCACAGATTCTCAATTCAAAACATCACACAAACGGCCAATAGTCCCTGCTTTCCTTTGAAGCTTCACAAGCCAGGCCTCCATCGCCTACAATTCTTTCAGCATAACTGTTCCAAGCTCCACAGCAACAAACTCTGCACTCAATGACTCTTCCAGCCCAAAGTTCCAAACACTTCCACAGTCCTCCTTAAAACGCCAAGGTCAGGTCTGTCACAGCAATACATTTGTTCTTTTTCCTTAGCTCTGGGAATTGAACCTAGGGGCTTGTACATATGAAGTAGGTCACCACCAGTGACCTACAACCCCAGCACTCCTTTATACTTTCGAAAAACTGGGTTGTTTCCTTAAGTAAGCTGTAATTTTCTACATTCCGGATTCAAATCCTTACCTACATGCGTATATGCTTATATGTTTTGAAAATATTTTCTCCAAGTTCTTCTCGTGTCCCAAATAGAACCCCTGGAAGTGAAATGTCTATAATTTTGATAAATCTATTTTATCAATGATTCACATTTTCAGTGTTATATTTTAAGAAAGCTCACCTAATTCAAGGTCATGCATATTTATCCCTACATTTTCTTCTGAGTTCAATCTTTAAAAAAGTTTATTATTTTATTTTATGTATATAAGTATACTGCCTACATGTATGTAAGTGCACCCATGTCATGCAATGCCCCTAGAGGTCAAAAGGGGGTGCCAGATCCCCTGGAACTGGAGTTAACAGATGGTTGTTACCCACTATGCAGGTGCTGGAATTTGAACCTGGGTCCAACACAATCAGTGTTCTCCAGCCCTGAGTTTAATATTTTATAATTAGGTCATTGATTTTATAGTTTCTTCCAGAAGTTTTATCATTTTAGATTTTATATTTAAATCTATGACCTATTCCCGTTTGTAGTGTGAAATATCTAAGTATTCTAGTTTTTGAAATGGATAGCCAATTGTTCCAGCATCATCTGTTAAAAAAAAAAAACCTACCATACTTTTCCCCAGTATATTGGCTTGGCATCTTTTGTTGAAAATCAACTTAACATACAGAGTTGTCCTTCAGTATTCATGGGTAACTGGTTCCAGGACCCTCATGGACACCAAAATCCAGGAATGTCAAGTCCCTTATAGAAAAAATAATGTAATATTTATATATGGCCTATATATATATTATATCTTCCCATATGCTTTAAGTTGTCTCTAGATTACTTCTAACAGCTATGTAAATGGTTACTATCCTGTATTATTTAGGGAATAATGACAAAAAAGTTTGTGCACATTTAGCACACATGCAAATTAATACATGTTCATGTGTGTGCACTTCTGTATGGAGGTCAGATGTCAACATCAGTTATCTTTCTCAATCACTCTCCTCCGTATACAAGCTTGGAACTTGATATGTATAGTACATGATAGCTTTAAACTCACAGAAATCCTCCTGTTGCTGCCTGTCTAGTTCTGGGATTAAATGTATATGCCACCACATTTGGCTACATGCAACTTTTTTCAAAAAATTTAGACCCATAGTTAGTTAAATCCAGAGATGGGGAACCCATGGATATGGAATGGCCTACTGAACATGAATATATTTCATGATTCTATGGTATCCTTTGACCTATTTGATATGACTTTATATTTTCTTTAAATCTGAGAGTATTTGCTTGTGTTTGAGGCAGGGTCTTGTGATATAGTCCAAGAGATCCTCAAACTCATAATTCTCCTGCCTCAGTTTCCGAAGTACTGGGATTACAGGTGTACACCATCATAACAGACTTTACGGTCTTTATGGTGAGTTCTGAAATAAGGTATTACAAATTCCTTTGTTCTTTTTCAATATTACTTTCATTTCTGTAGGTCCTTTAAATTCCTGGATAATTTTTGGAATTAACTTCTTAGTTTCTACAAAACAACTTACTGGAATTTTGATAAGCATTCCATTCAAACACTAGACTGTTAGTTTGGGTCTTCTAATTCATAAACAATGTTGTATCTGTCAATTCTGGGGTCATTTGGGACTTCTCTCTGTAATGTCTTAGTTTTCAGTGTACAATAATTCTCATTTATTTTAAAACACAACTGATAAACTTTTGTCCCCTAAGCTTCAAACTACAATAAAATCATAATAGCAAGGTTTACAAAAGCCATTTAAAAGCATCCTGACACGACAATGAACAATGATCAAATAGGATAGTAATCCTGTTATCTCTTATCTTGTACCATAAGTCATTTATAAAAATCATACAGGAAAAATGCTAACTCCTATCAAAGTATTCTCTTTTACTTGAAATCCACACAAAAGTTTCTAGCTGGACCCACCAGATGGCTCAGCAGGTAAAAGCACTTGCTGCAAAGCCTGATGATGTCATATGAGAGAATGGCTTCCTGCAAGTTGTCCTCTGACCTCCACATAATAAATAAATAAATAGATAAATAAATAAATGTAACAAAAAATGTTTTAAAAGCTTCTGGTAGCAAAAACTAAATAATTACTAGGTGATTCCCCCTACCCCCAATTTCTCCTGTTAAACCCAAGAAAATTCTACAAACTAGTGCTGTGTTCATAAATAAAATGTAGTGATATGAAGAAAACAGTACTGGAAATACATGTCATCATTTTTATAGCATGATTTATGTGAACATCTATAAATATGTATCTATCAAAACAGGGTTGAGGTTCTACTAAATGTTCCTTTCATAAAAGTTTTTTGTTGGTTTGTTTTTTTGACACTAAGCCTGCACTCTACCACTGAGCTACCCCCCAAACACCTAAGAAGTTATTTGTAAAAATAATTAAAAAAAATTTTTTTTTATGTGTATACATGTATTGCCTGCATGTAGGTAAGTGTACTCGTGTCATGCAATGCCCGAGGAGGTCAGAAGAGGCTGTTGGATTCCCTGGGACTGGAGTTACGGACAGTTGCTAGCTGCCTTGTGGGTGCCAGGATTTGAACCCAGGTCTTCTGCAAGAACAACCAGTGTTCTTAACCACTGAGCCATCTCTCCAGCCCCAGTAAAAATAATTCCTAAAAGTATGAATGCCAACAAAAGCTTTTTTCCCCTTTAAATGAGAAATTCTTAAAAAATTTTTTTCCAGTCATACTAGGAGCCATGTATAAGAGTTCATGATTATTTCATAATAACAAAAATTAGAAACTACCAAAGTGCCCACTAACAAGTGTGGATGGTATGAATTGTAGCATATTCACATCACTGAACATTGTGTTGAAATGTAAACTACAGTTACGTGCAGTAACAGAATGAATATTATAATGTAATGTTGAGAGGAAAGAAAGCAGGTCTCAAGACAATGCAGAGTACTAGTACAAGCAAAACTGATGTCTTGCTTAGGCAACATTAATTGCCATATTAATTTTTTTTTAAAAAAACCACATTTTAAAAATATCATGCATTATGAAGTATTTTCCAGAAACTTAAACAGTAATCTCTGATTGATTTTCCATTTTTACAAACCATTTTTACATACCTTTGCTTCTGCTCAACCGCTCTGTCCAAGTGCTGAAAGATGTCCTGGAACAGGGCGCAGCTGGATCGGCTGTTAATGGTATAGCCATAGCTTCTTTTCCAATACTGCTTCAGATCGTTTAAATATTCCAGTACCTACACACGAACATTTCAAAGATAATTTCTAATATATTTCCATAAGTCTAACAGATTTCTTGATTTAATAGCAAGTCTTTCAGAAAAGGTGCATTAATCATGGAAAGAGCAGCAGAATTCTAGCACTGTCTGCAGCTGCCATTTCAGGCATTTAAGGATTGGGCCCTGAAGATCTAGGCCCTAAGGCAAACTCTGCTGCATCAAAACTTGGCATCAGCTTTTGAAGACAAACGAAGAACATGTGTCATGGCTCCATTCGTCTAACTATACTAATGGTCATTCAGAAATTAAGAGTTTTAAGACAAGAGCTCTGAGAGAAAGTAGGTGCAAGTCTGAAGTTTAAGAGCAGGGTTAGGCTGGTGCTCTGTACCAAAAGAAAATGCATTAGAAATTAGCAAAAGGGACAAAGTAATCATAAAGTAAAAATTGATTTAAACATAAAAGAATTAAACAAACATTTGTTAAATATACTCAGAAATAAAACAATGGTATTAGAAATGAAAAAATAGTAACTGGCAATTAAAAAATAGCTATGTGGCTGGGCGTGGTGGCGCACGCCTTTTATCTCAGCACTTGAGAGGCAGAGGCAGGCGGATCTCTGTGAGTTCAAGGCCATCCTGGCCTACATAATGAGTTCCAGGACAGCTGGGGCTACAGGGAGACCCTGTCTCAAAAAGACCAAAAAA